CGCGCCGCTCCCGCCGCAGGGCTGCCCCGTGTTTCCGCAGGCCCGTGATGCACAGGAACGTGCGCTACAACTGCCGGGTGATCTTCTTAAACAAGTACGTCGTTCCGCGTGCGTTCTGGGGCACGCTTGGCCTATGGAATTTCACAGGGAATTTCATGCAAAGCCTGAAAAAATATTCCCCAGTGCAATATAAAGAGATGTTCCTAGCTGTGATGCTAGGGAGCCATCTTCCTTTTACAGTGATGATGCTTTCTGTTATTTCTCTTTGCTTTCTGAATTTGTAAATACTGAATTTCCATTGATTTCTGAAAGAATTCCTAGAGTCTAGAAAGAAATCTTGCAAACTCTGCAGGTAGGAGCAGTAAAAAGTGCTTATATGTGTTTATACATTTAATTTATATGAGGGAAAATGAGTGCTTTACTATTTAGAAGTATTTTTATTTAGTATTTGGTTGCATATCAAGTCTTAACTCACTGTTTCTGTTTTGTATTGTTTCACGTTTAAAGAAAAATTCTTCTGATCAGACCAAAAATAACATTGGCAAATGCAGGAAACTACAGAGAACTTCGCTGGTTTACCCCGTGGAGCAAACCAAGGTGCGCCAAATCCCATGAAATCCCATGCAAACAGTGTTAAAAGCCCAGCCTGTCACTTGCAGCTCCAGCACAAGAGCTGAAATCTCTATTGCAAAACATCAGCGCTGCTCCAGGGTGAGCAGCATGCAGATTATTCTAGTGTGATAATGTTAGTAAAGTAATTCTGAGAGAAACTCTGAGAAACTGTCTTCTTAAGCACAATCAGTTCCAAAGTACTTCCAAGATAACAGCGTGATAGCCCCCGAAAAGCTCTTTTTTTTTCATTTTGTGTTTGTCTTGCCTAATGCATTCTTTGTCAGCTCTAGGCAATAGCTAGGAGGAGGATAACCTGAAGGCTGTGCATTTATAGCACTTATCCTACTCAATCATTTTTAGTATCTTTTTTTTTTCTCCTTGCTTCTTCCTCGCTTACCATGAGTTTTGGAAGCAAATTAGGATGTTCTTCGTTCATAATCATAATATTTCTGATAATTTAATGGGAAGTACGAAAGTCTTTTTTCTTTATGTATATACACAGTCTGTAAAACTTAGGTGCAATTTTTTTAACCAATGTTAAGGTTAGGTGATGCTATGTGGAGACTGGAATAATTTTTTTTATGATCTGTTTTATAACTATTCACAATTTATAAACCTGTGTTTTAGGCATGTGGAAGAATATTTTCTACCCAGGATAATTCAGGAAGTAACAGGACAGGTAAATGTAAAGGTTTTTTTTTTCTTTCAAAGTTAGTGTCTTTTAGATTGACCAATTTAAATGAAGATAATTTATGGAGTAAAACTATAGTAGACCTAATTCTGCTCTCAATTTCAGCGTAAATTCAGTAATTTCCATGGTGGCTCTCTGCTGCATTAAATGAGACCATAATTTAACCTCTCTTATGTTAGTACTTGGTGCCAGAGCAAGTTCAGGATTTCCCTGACTTACTGGGGATTGTGCTCAGTAGCACAGACTAGACAAGTTATCTGTGCTTGAGACTAGAAATGATTTGATTTGAGGTTACCAATTTCAGAAAGACATTATCTGTCTTGAATAAGGAGGTATAAAACTCATCGCTTCCTCCTGAAGTACAGGGTGATTTCTAGCAAAAGCCAACCTCTTTTGTAGGGCATTTAATTCAAAAGCAGGGATCCTGACTTAAAACCCTGGATCGGAATACCTATGAAATTTAATTACAATTCAGATGTCTTCAGTGTAGTGTTTCCTTATAAAGGGTTTCAGTATAAAAGGAAGAAAGGTACATGGTGATGGATACTGTATTGCTCACTTCATAGAAATAAGCATTGGACTTTTTTTGTGTTGGTAGTTAATTTTTTGACTTTATGAAATAGACTCTTCCATTATATGCATGTCTATTATTTATTTTTGTCAGGAGACTGTTCCTTTTGGGGATGCAGTGCTAGCAACCGAAGATACCTGCTTAGGGACAGAAATATGTGAAGAACTCTGGGCACCAAACAGGTAAAGGAGAAGGAATTGAAAGTTGGATAAAACATACCCTTGAGTTGCCAAAAATAAATGTTTTTAAAAACATTTCCTATGATTTTGTTCTGTGAGTATATCCTTCAAAAAATGCCAGTAAGCTAAAGTCTTGAGGAGTAGGCAGTGGGTCATGGGAAAAATGCAGAAGAAAAGGAAAAAACAGTAGCAAGTTTCCTTGCTGTTTTTGGCACTGATTTTAGAGGTAATGGCTGTGCTGGTGTGCAAAGACAAGTGAGAAGCACTTGGAGAAGCTTGACCTAATGTGGGGCTCTACCAAGGCTGGATGTTTTTGTGAGCCCTACCTTTGCTTGAGCTAAGATTTGCATAAAGTTTGCAGTGATTTAGAGATATTCTTTATTTGTCCATGGGTTAAAACGCTCTGTGTAGCACAGTGAACCTCCCCAGCACTGCAAGCTGAATATTTTTCTGCCTTTTGCTTTGACAGCCCTCATATTGAAATGGGACTTGATGGGGTGGAAATTTTCACTAACTCTTCAGGGAGTCATCACGTGCTGCGGAAGGCTCACACCCGGGTGGATTTGGTGAATTCTGCCACAGCAAAGGTAGATGCTTTTAAAAATCGATGTAGTTTGGAGATTTTTTTTTTAATAGAAAGCTTTCCTCTTTTGAAAGAGAACGTAGTGCTCTCTTCCTAAATGAGCTTGGTGGCCCTGTCAGACCTTGCTGGTTTCTCGTTTCACTATGTGCAATTGCTTCCCCTAATTGAATAGGCTGAAGGGGACGGGCTGTCCACTTGGGGAGCTGCACTTCTCTGGGGTCCCTGCCATACAGCAGGCTCTGCTGCAAATCACTGAAACTTCCTCCCCATGTGCCAGATGGAGTTTGGTGGCCTGTCGGCTCTGCCTGGTCCGTGGAGCACAGAAGCAAAAGAGACCATTTGGCATGAGCATTTCACAGTGTAAAGACAGAGAAAAAGTATAAGAAGGACAGGAACAGTGAAAGAACATAATCTTGTAATGTTTTTGTGTCTGTTGGTTTTCCTCCCAGAATGGTGGAATCTATATTTTGGCTAACCAGAAGGGCTGTGATGGTGATCGTCTGTATTACGACGGGTGTGCCATGATTTCTGTGAATGGGGACACGGTTGCACAAGGATCCCAGTTTTCTCTTGATGATGTGGTAATATACTAAACTTAATTGTTTATTGCAGCTGAAGCTAGTAGGGCTGCATGTATGCTCAGGAGATGAAAGAAATCCTACTGATGCTATTTCCTTGTCTCCTGTAGCCTGAAAGGGTATGCCTTGACTTTGCTATTCGCATGCATCCAAAGCTTTTCATAGGTAGATTGACTGAACATGTAACTCTGCTGCTTTTGCAAGGGAGGAAGTATTGTTAAGGGGGAGGAACTTCTTCACAAAAATATTTCTGTATGCTATCACTGTGTTTGGGAGAAGCCCAGTTAGCTTTTATCCGCTTATTTAAGCAAAAAGTAGACAAAAGGTTTGATAGGGTGAACTTTACTTGAAAACTCTTTTCTTAGCAGATTAGTCATGTGTGCCAAATTCCATCTCCAATATGCTCCTCACCCTTTTCTCCTGTCCTCTTATACACCTAATGGTGAACTGATGCTTAGCAAATGTGTTATGCTTAAAGTTTGCTGTGGGTCATGGTCATCCTTGGTGAACTGAATTGTTTCTGCTCACTTTGTAATGTAAGTAATTCTACTAAGTTGGAGATGACTTATGGGTAAAGTCAGCGTAAAAAAAGTATACTGAAAAGATTGCATATTTTTTTCTTTTTCGGTATTTTTCTCTAGTCTTTTCTTGCCTGTCAGAGATTGTTTATCTGTGTGTGTAGAAACAATCTAATGTTGAAAGCATTTCTGCAGGAAGTGCTGGTTGCCACCCTGGATTTAGAGGATGTCCGAAGTTACAGAGCAGAGATTTCATCTCGTAACTTAGCGGTAAGAATGCATTACGTTGGTTATGTTTGTAAACTCTGCCAAGTTTGAACAATTGTTGAACTGAAAAAGCATTTGCTTATGTTGACTTCCATAGTATAACATAGCATGTGATATTTTATAGGTATATTCTACATTAGAACTGTTGTCTTCCCAATTCTCCTGTGCTATTGCTTAGGCAAGTAAAGTGTGTCCCTATCCCCGGATAAAAGTGAATTTCTCACTGTCATGTTCTGATGATGTGGCTGTACCTGCGTATGTTCCAATTCAGTGGAGACATCATAGTCCTGAGGAGGAGATCAGGCAAGCACATATTTAATCTGTAATTCAAAAATGATTTGATAAAATAAAAAATAGAGTTGTACATAATATCTTTTTTTATTGAAAGTATCCCATCAAAATAGCATAATAAATATGAAGTGTTACTTAGGTCTTATCCCTTAGCCCTCTTGGAATGCATATGTTTTGTAATTTCAGCCTTGGCCCTGCATGTTGGCTTTGGGACTTCTTAAGGCGCAGCAAACAGGTAAGAACTGTTTTTGTTCTTTGCTTTTAAGTATATACCTTCTGTGCTGCAGGGACAGTATTGATTCTTATTCTGTGTGGCCTTTAATGCAAAGTGATGTTGTTAATCCAAGGTACAAAGTTAGTGTTTGCCACTGCTGGCTCTTTCAAACTTAAAAACAGATATGCAAGCTATGATTTTAGTATTCTCTCCAGAGTTTCCCATAGGGTTATCTTCCTTTGAAAGCAATAATCAAGCTTATTTACTAAAGGGAATTTCTTTGTCTCTGAAAGTCTACTTTTCAATAAGAAAAATGGCATATGGAACTTGGTGTTAAAAATAAGCCAGATGACATAAAATACTTCAGGTTCAGTTTAGTAGTGGATTGTATGTGAAAGATTAGGTCATTATTAGCCTTTCAGCCTTACTAGAGGATAAAGACATCCTGTCAATTTGTCTAGCAAAAATATTATTTACTTCTTCGTTGCTTATCTAGTTGATAGTCCAGATAATGATTTTTGGAGGTCTAGTTGAGTTGAGAGGGTTTGCTAGGTCTGTGTGCTGTTAGTTTGTTTTCCTTCCAGTAGACTTGAATGATGTATGTACAGTTCTTTCACACAAGTGTGTTTTGAGTGGTAAAACTTTTTTTTTTCCAGTGATGCTTCTTTTTGAATGTTTTTCTTTGCTTTCTTTTCAAGGCAGGATTTTTTCTACCTCTTAGTGGTGGAATTGACAGCTCTGCTACAGCTTGCATAGGATATTCCATGTGTCACCAGGTTTGCCTGGCAGTCAAGAATGGAAGTAAGTAGATATGCATGTCTGTAGTCATTCTTATTAACAATTAAGGACAAATTGATAGTATCTAGGTGCAGTAGATGCACAGGTCAGATATCTATGTATGTAATTCACTAAATACAGAATTTTGGTGGTTTTGTGGGTTTTTTGTTTGTTTGTTTTGTTTGTTTGTTTGTTTTTGTTTTTTTCCTCCTCTCCAAAGGAATCCTTTACAAAATCCCAGAAATTCCAGCAAAACATGAATCCAGATTTCAAATATTCTGAATTGACTTAATAGTTTTCATTTTGGGTTTTGGGATTAGTTGTAATATTCAGACTATTTTTAGAGTATTGTTCAAAATGTTGATTGATATAGTCTTGGGATTTTGGTTTGTTGTGAGAATTTTTCCTCTCTGTTAAGTTCAATGCTACAAAACAATTAGATGTGGTGAGATTGTGAGATTCTCTAGCATGGCGTACACAAGAGATGTACAAGATACTTGCTGTGCTGTTGTTACCCAGGCTATGCAGTTCCCTTGCTCCGTTTCTTCTGCTTTATCCTCAGATGCAGAGGTGCTGGCTGATGCACGCAGGATTGTGAATGATGAGACCTACGTCCCGGAAGACCCTCGAGAGTTCTGCAGGCGCATCTTCACCACTTGCTATATGGCCAGTGAGAACTCCACCCAGGAAACCTGCAACAGGGCTAAACTTCTGGCTGAGCAAATAGGCAGGTAAAGATTGAAAAGTGATGGGAAAGAACCATCTTCTGGCAATGACTGCATAAAAAAAGCTTTCAAATGTTCTGAACAATCAATACGTGTGAAGGCAAATGCATAAGCAGTAAATGCGTTAAGTAACACACACATTACTTGTGTAAAGGTACAGAACACTTAGCAGCATTTAGTGAAGGTCAGGGAAGGATTTCCAAATTTCCTGACTCTGGAAAGTGCTACACTTTCCTAAGGCTTGTCAAACCATATATGAGATGGTAAGAGGCTTAAAACATCGTTTTACTTTTTCTTTACATGCTATTTTATGTAGTTGGACTGTACTAGTTGAGTCACTTCTGCTTGAATTCTTCTCAGCTATCACATCAGTCTGAACATAGATGCGGCTGTGAAAGCTATTGTGGGAATTTTCAGCATGGTGACAGGCCGAAGTCCCCGTTTTTCTGCCTACGGAGGGAGCAGCAGAGAAAATCTGGCACTCCAGAACGTGCAGGTGTGTTTTCATGTAGGCTAAATCTGCTTAGATCCTTCTTTAAAAAAGCATAGAGCTATACATAGGTAGCCAGGTCAGAAAAATGTGCAGTAAACTAGTCTAACAGACAAGTCATGAGTCCAGTAGGATTGTTGCAGGTCAAGACTTAATATCTTATCAGAGCTAAGAGGTGAAGTTAATGCAGGGCTTATAAGTACTAGATTTCCTTGGTGAACGTTACTGTCATTTAAGAAGTTTTATATAAGGTGTCAAGCTTACCCATTACAATGTCTACCAAGTCTTTAGTGGGTTTAGCAGCCTCGAGTCTCTCCAACAAAGCTACTTGAATGCTATCTAAAATACTGTTACCAGGTTTAACAGTCAGTTTTTGTTAGCTGATATTTCTTTCCCTGTAGTTACAGTAAGCTCCAGCAGTCCTCTCTGGAAGCAAACACTGGGTCTTTTGTTTCTTTTGTTCCTTTACATTTATTTATAGGTAGGCTTTAGTCACAGATGACTGTGGTGTCTTGTTTAACATGACACAAAGCTGTGCCTACAGCTGGAAATTGAATTTCAGGGCTCTCAATTTGGTACTGCTACCATCCTTAGAAAAGTTAAGTGTTTTAGAATGGGAACAGAAGCAGAGAGAACTATTTGCAAATTTTTAATATAATTAAATCTATTTAGCCTAATATTCCTTGTGCTAGTCAAATGGTTTATCTTCATTCCTCATTCTTCATGGATCTTTACCAGTGCTTTTGGGAAGCAGAGAATTGCAGTTAGTCCCTGTTTTACAACTTCTAGTAGAAACAACTTGCCCAGCCACATGGATCTCTGGGGTTGGACACAACCTTACTTTTGAGCCCATTCCAAGACCATTCTTCTTTCATTAACACCTGGCTCTCTAGCATTATGTTATTTCTGGGTTTGTTTAGGGAATTGTTAATTAAAATTGACTTGGATTTGTGTTTGAATGGGGAAAAATTATTTTTGCTTTGTAAATTTGCTTCATTTTTCCTTTTGCCTTGTAGGCTAGAATAAGAATGGTTCTTGCCTATCTCTTTGCTCAACTGACCCTTTGGACTCGTGGGATGCCAGGGGGACTTCTGGTGCTAGGATCATCCAATGTGGACGAAGGGTTAGTGAGAGTTAGAAGTTTAAAACCAAGTGATCTGAGAATAGGTCACTGCAATTATTTGCAACGCTGCCAAATCCCAATATAGATTAGTACTCAGAAGAGGCAACAAGCTAAGCATGCACTGATGGCAGTAGACTTAAATAACAGAATCAACTTAGTGTCAAACTGTAATTTGTGAAGTTTAGAATAAAAGTATTGCCACAGTTTTCTAATAAACTTCATCAGCAAGTCTTACTAGAGCTTACCTGGAGAGCTAAGAGGTTAGCTTTCCTATCTGTTACTTGGTTCATTTTCAACTCCTCTGTTAGGAAATAAGTTTTGAGTAGAAAAACAGCTTTTCAAAATCTAGACTAGTGTTACTAGAATTGGCTGCTCCAAGATAAATGCCATCCGTGTAAGACCGAGAGACTGAACTGGAAAAGGTGGGAGTGTAATGAGCGTTGATTCTGTAGGGGTTCAGGTCCTCTCAGGAGGAATGAAAGCACTGTTTAAATTATTTTACATCAAATTTGGAACCTTAATATGGACAATTTCACAGTCTTTCTTAAATGTTCAAAATACCATCTTCCTCCTCTTAACAATTTCATAGTTTTAGCATAGTTCTATTGCAGTTGGACACCTGTTTGTCTCTTACATATAAATACATAAAGTGTTAACAAAATGTAATCTTTGTCCTTGTGTTTTACTACATGCACATTATATATTATAAACTATTTATATATCATACAATGCTATTACGTACTACTATTATATAAAATTCCCTTTCTTGCCCAGTCTCCGAGGATACTTGACAAAGTATGACTGTTCAAGTGCCGATATCAACCCAATTGGTGGAATCAGCAAGACTGATCTGAAGAGCTTCATACAATATTGCATTGAAAACTTTCAGCTCACATCCCTCAGGAGGTGAGTGGTGGAACAGCGATGACTGGGGACTTCTCTGTATTTGCACGATGCATATTGTGGACTTGCTAGTTTGGATCTCTCTACTGCAGCTTAGCTCCATTAGTAATATTGCAGATGCTAATGAAGAAGTCCCCTGCACATCGTTCTGTCCTTAAAAGATTGTCTGCACTTGTACAGGACACTGTAAATGGCCAACTGCTGAAAGCACTACCAGCCTAGAGTTACCATGTAGAAGAACTTGTGTTGTTAATTCCACTGAAGGAACCACAGTGGAAGCTAATCAAAATCTGCTGTAGGAAATGCTGTATTCCATTTTAGGGCCCTTCTGGATAGGCTTTCAGTGAATGTAGAACTATAGGTTTCTAACAGTTTAAAATCCCAAATTATGAAGACCTCAGCTGTAGAACTGATAGTGCATATGCAGCTTAATTATGAAGACTTCATTCCGTTTGTTCTTGTCATCCCTCTTTGGACAGATGCTAATTCATGGTTTTGGTTTCAGCACTGATTTTTAAACATGCAACAGCTTGCAAGTATCAACACTTGTTTAGAGCTATCTACTCATTTTTCAGCTTATGCTCTGAAAAAGTTTTAAGTAAAGCATTTGATTTAAAACAAAAACAACAACAACAAAAAACCCACCTCATCAGACCACTAATGTGAGTGGGTAGATTTCATGTTTTTCTTTTCTCTTGCCTTTTATAGCATCATGTCAGCTCCTCCTACTGCAGAGTTGGAGCCCTTGGTGGATGGACAATTGTCTCAAACTGATGAGGTAATGGGCAGTGACTTTAAAATGCTCTGGTAAGCCTTATCCAAAAATTTGTTTCTTGTCAAGTAATGTGCTAGTGTTTGCATTCTGGCTTATAGACAAGTGTGTGTCCTCCTAGTCCTAGACAGTCTCTAAGCCAGTGAAGGTCAGGGACTATCCTATACCAAGGCATTACTATCCTATACCAGCCTTGTCTATTTTGACAGCAATTTCTAAGATAGCAAATAATTTTTGGATAGCTTTTTACTTCAAGAAAAAATGAAAGGCACTCTGAAGGATGGCTGTTCTGACTTTTTTTGAAATTCAGTCCCTCCTAACATTGCATATCAAAATGGAGTCAGAGCCTTAAACTGATTTCAAAATAACTGGTGCTCTATCCTCTCCCCATTCTTTTTGTTACCCACTTGGATGAAAAAGAGACCAGTGGACCTAGCATTTGCCTCTGGGAACTGTAGGATATTGCAAATTTTCTGGGAAGGCAAAAGGTAGCTTAATTTAAATTTAATTAAAATGTATTCCTGTAAGGGTTTGAATATTCCATTCCAGAGGTTTATTTTCCCTTCCTTCTGCTCAGTAGTACTGCTTTCCTTTGTTGATTTGATCACTGGCATTTTCATTTTGGTATTTCTGTAACTGCATTATTGCAATTGCTCATAAAATTATTACTACTTTGCATAGTTGAGATTTTCAGTAGCTTTCTGTGTGTGTAATTTCAGGTAGATATGGGGATGACATATGCAGAGCTCTCCATCTATGGCAAATTAAGAAAAATTGCAAAGGCGGGACCTTACAGTATGTTCTGTAAACTGATTAGTATCTGGAAGGAGATCTGTACTCCAAGAGAGGTAATATCTAAAATGATTTATTTTAATATCTTTGCCAACACAGTGTATGTTTGGAGTAAGGTCAAAATGAGTTCCTTTCATTTGAAAGGAATAAATATTCTTCTGTGTATAGAAATGCTTTGTAGCTGTAACAGAATATGATGGAAAAACTATTATGGATCTCTTGATTGTTGCTGCTTTCTCTGCTGCAAATTGTTAGACCAGTAATTGGGTTCTTTGAAAACTATTTCCTACAGAACTATGTCTTCAGGGGAAAAATTCTTTTCTGAAGTATACGATCAGCTGCTCTTGAATCCTTTGGTTACATATGCTAGTCGGAAAATGGTCTTTGCTCTGAAAAAATGCTCAGAAGAGCCACACCAATGGAGGATGTGCTTTACTGTGATGCAGTCTTTGCTTCTGTGCAGAAAGGAAGCTGTTTGGATTGTCATCCAAATTGCAACCATCTGAACTGCAGGGGCTACTATTTACTTTTGGATTTCTTGCAAGACATTTTCCACTTGATAAATGTTAAGCTAAGCATGTTAAGCATCTTAGTTAAGATCCTAAGCATAGGGACTGGTATGTTGTCTGAAATCGTATAAATGGCCATTATGTAGACAGTCATCAGTAGTGGTAGCTAACTTATATAAATGTTAGTGAAATAAAACAGGTATGTAGAGTCTCCACAACTTTATTTCATCCAAATTTTTAAATATTCTTTCTGCTGATTGAAAGTATATTCTTTGTACACCAGGTGGCATCAAAGGTTAAGCATTTCTTCAGGATGTATTCCATTAACAGACATAAAATGACCACTCTCACTCCTGCCTACCATGCTGAAAACTACAGTCCTGATGACAACCGGTTTGACTTGAGGCCTTTCCTTTATAACACTACCTGGTCCTGGCAATTTAGGTGTATAGATAAACAGGTAAATGCTCTCTTCTTTTATGACTTTATGTTCAAATCAAAAGGCTCGTCAACCTCAGTATCTTCCTGCATCTATTTCATGAACAGTAGCAGTTGTTAAGGAAATACAAGAACAGCGTGTGTGTAGTATCATCCTTCCTATATATCTCCATAGGCTTTGGGGGACATAAAATGGGTTTCCAAAGTCAGAGATAACATACAAGACCATCATGTTTAACTGCTGCTGTTGGTGTATTCTCCACGAGGTAACATTTGAGCGCATGTATGAGAAGTGTTTACCTGTGTTTATTTTAAAACCTCTAGGCCCTCTGTTGTTAGGGGCAGCGTTCAGGTTAGGGCTGATCTGATCTGACAGGTTACTGTCTTCACAAAAGGGCAGGCCTACCTCCTTCTCTGTCTCTCCAGGCTTCTCTTGGAATGGCTGTGGCACTTGTCTCACTCCTTGGTCAGACAAATCAATTCATGGAACTGACAGGAAAGTAGGAACTGCTGGGAACACACAGTCTGGGCGGAGGAGAGAGTTTGACCTTCCCTTTTGACTGCAACTAGCAGTCTGAGCTCAGCTGTTCCCTGGAGCGTGTCCCACTGTCAGTTCCTGCTAAATCTGGGCTCTGTGCTGACTTGTGATGGAAGTGTGAAAATGCAGTGGTTAAACTTGTTTTTATTACTGAATCCATTTCTTGTTAACTTGCAGGTGCTTGATCTAGAAAGCAAGGAAGGAGCATCTCATGCTGAAGATGTGGACTAATGTCTCTTTAATATGGTAATAATTTGAGAAACAGAATGTTAAAAACTGGAGAATCCCGTGATGATGAGTATTTACCCAAATAATTGTTGAGGTTATCTTTGCCAACAATATTTGTAATCAAGTCTTTTTTTGATTGACTTTGTTTTGTTCCCATATACACTTGAAGCCTGGTTTGGCTAAAGAGTCATTCATTGAGGATTTGCTTCAACTGCTTGAATTAATGGCTATTAATTGGAAATATTTGGACAAGCCCATCAATCATAAATAAATGTACAGGAATCTTTATTGTGAAAGTGTCTACGCAGACAGATATTTAGTTTAACTAGATCAAATGATTAGTCTAGGTAAGATTTTTTGAGTAAATTTGCAATTGAAAGCATACATTTTTATCATTTGTGATACATACTGTTGAGAAAAGGATATCTCATTTTACTTTGTAATAAAGCTATAATTTTATTATGTTAATCAACAACATGTTTTACATGTTTCTTTATCTATTTAGGATTAGCTCTATAAATGGGTCCAGCACTTTGAATAGCAGTGTAAGCTCGAATTCAGTGAGGTACTGGAAGGTAAAACATACTACTCACATGTTTCACTCGTATCCTTGAGGTCAGTATGTTTCAAACTGGAATCCAGTTCCTTGTTGTGCACCTACTTGTGTAACTTGTGGCATTTTTTTTAAATCTCCGACCTCATTTTTTCAGAGTATCAATGCTTATTTCATAAGGATGTTCTAGGACTGTTAAATGGTTACTGTTCTCCAACATTCTCAGCTGAATTAAATATTTTTGAAGGATTATAAATAAAAATGATGCCGTGACTCTTCCCTCGACCTTTTTGATGCATATAAGAGGTTGCTGTATCTGAAATAAGGGATGTTTTCTGGTGCATGGCCTCTTGAATAGACAAGACGCAAGTTTGATATCCATGCCAGAGTAGTTATTACCAGTTGCTCAGGCACTTGTCCAAAAGCAGAGTGTGGTTTCTTAACACTGACTGCAGTGAGTGAGTGGCTCTACTCTTTCATGCGGTTATTCTACTGCTGGAATCAAGCTTTTTAGGTGTAAAACACTTAGAAATAGAGTGAATATGGAGTGAATATTTCAGAAAGGAGGTATCAAAACCAGCTTCCTTTAGAGTTCAACTTGTTACCTACTTTCCAGTTACTGTTTACAAAAGCTGTTTCAAGTTCACAGCTTTGTTACCTCTTCAATGCTGTGGAAAACTAAAAAAAAGAACAAGATCTTCTCTACAGTTGTTCTCCACAGTACAGTGAATAGAGTTAATTTAAGTGGAGTTACAGAGGCTGTGCTGTTCTTGACAGGGCTAATATATGGTATTGATATAAACACGTACCTAACTTGCCTTTATGGAGGTTGATTGTGGTGCATGTTCCTCTGAAGAAAAACCACAGGTTTGCAGGTGTGTGTTTACAGGTCTTTGAGCCTGAGGTAACAGCTGAAAGTTTGAACAGACATTCTGGAAGCTGTTGTCTAGTGGAGGGCTTCTTATTTCTCTTGTCCTGAAGCTATTGCTTCTGCCTTCCTCTGTAAATCACACAAGGGGAAGAAAAAAAAAAGTTTTAGAATAAAAAATAATAGCAAACTTCTAACAGCTACTTTGCTTACCCTAAGCCCTTTAAACACAGAGTGAGAGGACATGCATGTTTCTTAGCACTGCGTGTGCATCTGCAAGCTCTATTTTTTTTTCTTAGGGCCTACTACTGCATTTAGTTTCTACCAGCCTACCTCCATCTCCCACTATAATTTTCTGGCTAAATTTCAGAAGTAAACCCCCACCTTGATACCGGATTTTTCTAACCCTTCACTCCCAGCAGCCAGTAGCTACTTTCCCAGCACCCTCGAGGAACTAGTGCTGGTGTCACAGGTGCTTCTATCAAATATACAGCTGGAGGAGGGGGTAAGGCTATGCTTTCCGCCGTAGGGCTTCCTGAGAACGCTGTCCGGGTGCACAACAACGTTCTCCCTCAAAGTTGTGCCGTAAGGTTGTGCTGTTCACGCCTTTAAAATCCCACTCCAAACAAACGGGCTTCGGAGGCTGCGGGAAGGCTGCGGCGGTGCCCGAGGCGGTCCCGCACGTGCAGGCGGCGAGCGCGGAGCCCCGAGCACCATGAGGGCCGCGGCAGGGAGCCCCGTGGACGTGGGGGCTGCAGGAACCGGGTGGCCTAACTGCCTTATCTCCTGCTAAAGGAAACGGAGGTGATCGCCTGTCTGAGCCCTCTCAGAGGCGGTAATATGAGGCCGTTAGGCCAAGGAAAGAAAAACAAAAGAAGGAGGAACTACTGTAAACTGAAGACTGACAGGTTTATTTTCAAAATCAGCCTCTATTTCCTTACTGAAAATAACTTGCTGGTGATTCCCTTCTTAAAGGGGCCTTAATTAACAGAATTTATAAAATGCCATCTCTTAACCTTCATTGTTGTATTTACACAGTAATAAAATTGGATTATGAGTAGCCTGGTGAGGCTATTAAAATGTCAATATGCATGTTTTAAAGCAATTTATTACTTTTAGTTTCAGGCATTTTTTTTTCCAGATCTCGCTTGCATTTTGTGCAATTCGAGTAGGGCAGACTTAGTTTTTGAGCACAGCCTTTCTGTCACAGTTTATTTTGTTCCTGGGTGTCACTTCCTAACTTGCCATAAAAATATTCGTGATGCTAATCTTATAGGAACTCAGTATTTGATCTGTTGGTCTGTTTTTGCAGAATGAGTCAATAAGAAGGATTCTTCAGCCTTTTTCTCCTCACAGCTCCTTTTATGATGAAGAAAACATTAAAAATCATAAACAGCCTTTTGCCTGGAAGGGCAAAGTAGGTAAGCACATAAAAAGCATCCTTTCACAGCAATGCCTAGTTACTTTCAGTATTTTCAGATATGTAAAATGAGTAACTGGTCTGGCTGTGCTAAGTGGGTTGGTGAGATCATGTGGTGATGGACTGAGGGTTGTAGGAACTCTTGTCTCTGAGCGTTTTTGTCTCTTTTGTCTCTTCCAAATTTTCCACATGGAATACATGTGATATGACTTTGTCTACATGATGGATACTTTTTGATGGTATTTCATAGAATCATAGAATGCTTAAGGTTGGAAAGGACCTCTAGAGATCATCTAGTCCAACCCCCCTGCACACACAGGGTCACCTAGAGCACGTGGCACAGGACTGCGTCCAAGCGGGTTTGGAAGATCTCCAGAGAAGGAGACTCCACAACCTCTCTGGGCAGCCTGTTCCAGTGCTCTGTCACCCTCACTGTTAAGAAATATTTCCTTAAGTTCCTGTGGAACTTTTGGTGCTTCAGTTTGTGGCTGGTTTGTTTGTTTGTTTTCTTTTTTAAAGACAGGAGCCCAGGAATGACTTAACATTCTTAGCAAGACGCTAAGAATTGGCACATATCTACAAGCATTTTCAAGTGCTTAGGAGTGTTAGCCTTTAATGATCACTTACTGTTTAGGCAACAATTTCACATTTTGTTATTGTGGCCTACATCTTCAAACTGCAGCTCAACCCATTCCTAGCATGTATTCAGTTTTTTATTAAGGAAGATGCCAATACCAAAATAATATGCAGGGAAAAGAGTATCTGTCTGAGTAAGCTGTAGCCTTAAAAAAAAAAAGGCTTGCTGTCATCAGTCATTTTTTTTCTAGTGCCTGCCAAGTTCCTAATTTTGCTACATGGATTTTAACAGCTCTGCTGCCATGCATATCCCTCTTTTCACAGCACAATTTCATTTTGTTCTGCCATCTTTCTTGTACATATTCCAAGAGTAACAACAATGGAAGCCGAACCCGCAGCCTGTCCCAACAAACGTAAGGCAGCTTCTGGCAGGGTAACAGCCATTGTCTGCTGCTGTTCTGACAGGTCACTGAGCTCAGACACTGCATCATATGTGCTTAAATCGTGAACAAATTCCATTGATGTAAGGATATTTCTAAATCCAGAGCATTTGGCACAGGCCTTGGCTTTTAAGACTAGTCCGGAGAAGGATTCAGTGAAGGCTTGAAGGGCTCTAAATTAATTCCAGACAGCTTTGAAGTAACGCTGCCTTGAAACTAACCAGCAAATACCTATTAGCAGCACTTATTAGCATATCGCTACATAGCCAACACATCTTCACAACTGTTTTTAAATATATATCAAATAAGTTTATCAGTACATATGTAGATTATTTGTCTCCTTCACAACAGATTCTGTGGCACCAAAGTCCTTTAAACCGTATCATTAAATGAAGAGGAACGAAGTATCTTCAGACAAAAGATACTATCAGCTTGGAAGATTTCCTATTGGAAGAAGGGAAATAGGAAAAGAGAAGAAGGAAAAAAAAACAAACCACATACCTTTGCATTTACATGGGTCTTTTTCACTATCTTACAGTAATTAATAAAAACAAAATATTATTTTGCAGATTGGAAATTGAGTGTGCATCTCAACATTTTGAAAAGTGAATAAATAACACTAAATAACAGAACTTAACAGAAAAACAGGCTTGTTATGCACATTTTCATTTTTGCAAAAAGCCTTAAAGTACAAAGTATACTACACTTGTACTTTCTGAACACTTTTTTTAAGTGTTCAATACCCTTAAGTGTAGTATACAAATAAACATGGTAAAATGACAATTGTACTTTATTGCTTTGGAGTGACTGAACTTTCCTAGGAAAGATTTCTGAACATCAATATCTGATTGGCCAAATTTGTCAGGATTCCAGCCAGGAATGAATTCGTTATAATATCACTTCTACAAAGTAAAGTGAATGTGATTTTTCATAGAATATTTCTCAGAACAGGAAATGCCATTTCTTAAGTTGCATTGCTGCACATAGGCATAACAACAGTCTATTTTCAACAGATTTTATAGTCTTTTATTTTGACAGCTAATAACAGTTTTACTATATTTTTAATAACAGTTTTAATATATAGTGTATACAAATGTATATAAGGGTTAACAATGTGTGATAGAGAAGTCAAATTCTTGCTGTAAAAGTTGCCTTTTAGTCATCATTAAGAGTTTGTGATATGAAGGCAATGGCTTGGGGTGCTGTGCTGAAAGACAAGGCCCAATAGATTCTAATAGCAGTGCAGATTCAACAATCAATGTTACAGGAACCAGTCAATTTAAACTATCAAGATGATTGTGATCATCTTCTTTTATCTTTTAAACATTAGAAGAGAACACGTGTATGGTTGAAATTAATGCCTTTGTCTCCCTGAACAGAGCAGAGAAGTTTAGAAGAAAAATCAAGGAAAGTAAAATAAAATAAGAAAGGTCAAAAAAAGAGTAAAAAGGTCATGGAGTAAGAAGGGTAGTATTTCCTATTCATATCCAAGGAGAGCGTCAATCTTGGTTAACCACATTCTTGAAAAAGTCTCTAGAACATTGTCCTGAATTTCCTGCTTGTGATATTATTCTTGGAATTACCTCATCTGTTTTCCAACATATTCAAGAAACCAAGCAGATTGGATGCCTGACCTAGTATTTTCATAGAATCACAGAATCATTTTGCTCTGGAGGATAGCATAGTTCCAAGAATCTCAAGTCACCAAGAAAAATCTGCAGCTAGAAAAGCTATCAAGATGGGTAATTATAATAAATATCCAATAATAATATTGCTCAGATCCAGTCACCAAACGATTCAGTATTTCTTGGGGGAAAACTTTACTGAAGAACCAAAGGAAGAATAAGCTATTCCCTGCCACTGTGGCATACATTGGATTTTCAGGCTTGCATTTGGTATGCTGTTCCACCTCGTATCTTGTTTTAGTGTGTAACGTCTGTTCAGAACAGATAATTGTTTTACTATGGGAACAAAGGAGCCAAGAAAATTGCCTAAGGAATGAGGAGGAGATGAATGAACAGGCTGCCATCTCTGCTGTGTGGAGTGAGGCTCGCAGGATCATTCTAGATGACACATGACCCTAATTAGTAGAGTGTCAAACTTCTGGCAAAACCCGGAGGCAGTAATCTGATAAAGGTCAGCAGATGGTCAAAGATCTTGTGAATATTGTTCGAGAATAACACTAAGAAGTCCCAAACGTTGAACTGAACTGAGACTGAAGAGTCAACTTTTCTTTTCTTTTTTTTTTTTTAATGGTCTTTAGAAAATCAGCTTTGGCAGGTACTGATGAAAGCAACGGCACTTTGTCAGGATAAAATCAAGACCTGAAAGAACATAAACAAGGCTCCTGGGCCTACCAGCAGTGTCGCCAGGAGAAAGCCCAAACTGCAACAGCTTGTGTCAGGCCCCTGCGGAACAGAGACAGCATGATGCTGAAGGTATCACCAGCCTCTCCATTTGCTACAGGGGTCATGGAACTGGTCCACTCCTGAGGTCTTGCTCAGGAACTGGAGGATCAGATATGGGAGATTTGCTACAGGGGTCATGGAACTGGTCTCCTGAGGTCTTGCTCAGGACTGGAGGATCAGATATGGGAAACTGCTTTTGTCTGGACTGCATCCATTCTGCTTGAACAGAGTTATTTAAAGGCTCAGCAAATGAAAAAGTTTATAGTCAATTCTATGGTGGTAGTATGATGTAATATACATATACATGTATACATAATATCCATGGTATAATAAGAATCTTAAATCAGTTCTTCTCTGATACAGTGTTTGAGCTAGGTACATTAAGAATCTGTCATTGCTACCTAGTTGATGCTAACTGAGCATAAATGCAGGTATATAATAATGTAAACTTCCTGTTTTCATTGACCAACTGTGGTAAAAATCCTATTGCTGTATCCAATCCTCCTTGCATATCCTCCTTTTTACTTATGTAGCCAGTTAAGACATTCTTAAAAGATGGGGGAGGGAGAGCTTTCTATGACTGACTAATCTTTGCTATTTAGGTAAGCCTCTAAGTGATTAGCTCTATTTTCTAAAGGCTCTTATTTACTCTTAGTCATAAAGAGTATCACCTGTGAAAAATGAACATCCTGGAAATATTTAAGTACATTTTCATATCCAACTATTCTCTCTCCTCTTACTCGCACATAATTGCTAAAGGTAGTAAGCACTGTTTTAAAGCACAAAACAGTTAAACTTACTGATCAAGTGACATATCTGTTTGTTACACTTCTCCTCCTTGTATGAGGAAAATGTTGCACTTAGATATTTTTTCCAGAGATTCATTTACATAGACTTTTCTACCAGACTAACATTATTTTAAATACCAAAATTAATTTCCAAATATTTTAAAATTCAAGATAACATAAAATTTATGCTAATCTCTGAATGTTTAGTATCCAGATTGTATTTTTAGCATTCAAAACATAAGATACTGTACTTAGTTTCACACACTAACTATTGATTGACTGTGATTCAGATATCTACTGCCTGATACTTCAAAGATTATATATTTATTTAATCATGAACAAAATAGTGAATATGCTTACATTTTTCTTTCAGGACCAAGCTTTTACTTAATGCTTTCTTACAGTAAGTATAGTATGTACTGTACCTCTGAATAAGGACTGTAAGGGTTTTATACACATAGCTGAATGAAATAATATGGCCAAAAAAAAAAAAGTTGAATTTATAACCAAGCATGTGTTGAAACATAGGCCAGACTGAGAGGTATAACTCAGCACAATTTCTTTACCAAGTTGTTTTATGCCTGCTGACAGACTAATGTAATTTTCAGTACTTAGCTGTATTAAAATTAATGTTAATTAATAAGGACATGTCTTCATGATTTAGGGTGAATAAAATGGATATCTGAAAGGCAAGGAAAACAAGAGAAGGTGATTTAATAACTCAGCTCACTTGTTTCCTTCTCCCTTCAGTAAATGAACTGACTTGGATTGATTCTGATCTTTATGAGAATATATTTATGAATCTGATACTAATATGTTAAGTCAGAATTCTTTGGAAAACTGACCTAGCTTGCTAGTTAGATTTAATCTTTAGCACTCTTAGTGAGCAGATTCCATGATTCAAAACAGTAATTTTAATTAACAAGTTAAGGAATGAATTACCACTGAAATATGACTACATAGTCTTAGACTTAATGCTGTTTCACTAGGATGGTTGGTTTTATAATAAAAGACACTTCAGCATAACAAAATAAATTTTATAGAGACGATACATATCAAGAAAGTCTCTTACTTGGTTTATTACTCTACAATTTTGCTCATAAGATAAATTGTAATTGAATAATCAGTGACATTTGGAAAAAAAAAATGTAGCTGAAATTCTTGCATTTTTACTGTCAAAACATTATGCTACAGCAATGTTCTCCAGATAAGCTTATGTCAAAAAAGCAGCATAATAGATAATTATGCAGTTCTCTAGTATCTTAAAGACATAATGTTTATGAGTATAAAACTATTGAACTTTGATATCCAATTCTAATTTTTATTTACAAAATAAGTATCCACATTTGCTGATAGATGAGGAGAAAAAAAATCAGTCAACTTCTGTTTGATTTAAATCTTGTTCTAAATGTTTAAAACAACTTCTATTTGTTCTGACTCAAGAAGTGTGAAATCTCATCTAATAATGGTATGTTCCGCCATCTCCAGTTTTCTAGTGCTCTTACTCATGCTTTTTAAACTCACAACAGCTATATCCACTACAGACAAGTCTCTAACTTTTTTTTTTTCAATTTTTCTTTTACTATTGCTTTCCTTCCAGCTTTGTGCCTCTTTGTGCCTCATTTTGCTGTACCTTAGTATTTTCTATCATGTAACAAAGATGATCATTTTATGACTTACTGATTATTATTTACCTTTGAAACCAGGTTCTTTGCGTACTATGGAATGCAATTTGACCCATCTTTTTTCCACCCTCAAACATACCTAATGTATCAACATCCCCTCCTGGAGGCGTAGTGAGATCGTGCATAGTAAATACAGGGAGAAGAGGCTTCTTGTGGATGTGCATTTTCTGAGTCAGGGGAGAGCTTCACCTAAGAATCCATCTCAGTATCCTAAAGTCAGTTACTTCCCTTACGTCTTGCTGTCTATGAACCACTGCAACTTTCTAGGGAGCTCAAGACATAAATACCCTAGTAGTGATATCAGCCACATAAGATACTCTAGGATCCTCCTGCTTTAAAAGGTTAGCATATTACACACAAATTTGAGATCATCCACCAGAGAGCACCAATTACAGTATGAATATCCTTTAGGCCACCAACAGATAGACCATGGAAAGGTAGATTAGCACAAACCAAACACATTCTTGTATTTAGGCATGCCTGAGCTTCCAGTTGCGAGTGCCCATGGGACACACTTTTCTAGAGTTTACCACAACAGAGCACACACAGCTCTCTAGAGCAGCCACAACGTTTGCCTCTGTACAAATGTATAATGGTAATACATAATGCTGGCATTTTTCCAAGTATTCATTCAAGTTTGGTTAAGCTTTCTGTTTTCCCTGAGTGAACCACACTTACATGTGTGTACGTGTGTTTGTTTATTTCTTTTGTTTTCTTCACTAAATGATTATTGTTGTAATAATGCAATTTATTTGTTCAAACAACTGATGTAAAACTGATATCAAAGCTGGAAGTACACATAATCTGTTGCTGCCTGCACAATCTTACATGTCTTTTTATTAATTTACTAATTAATTTCTAAAAGGAACTATTATATTTGAAAACAACGGAACATCTTAGTGACATATATGTACATTTTCACTTTCAAAACCATATTTACAGTACAATAGGAATTCATCCAAATGTACTACTGATATGCAATTTACAAAACACATGGCAACGGTCCCTCTATTACAGCCCATAGTATCCGCATGGATACAACCAAAGAAAAACAAGTATGCAATGCCGCGTGCACCTCTCCCGGCTCTCACCCACTTCAGCGCGGGCCACGACGGTGCTCGAGGGCGCTGCTACCTCCGCGCCCGCGCAGGGGGCCGGGAGCTACAAGCACGTACAGAAACACGCAGTTTTGCCCCTCCACGGCCGCAGCAGCAGCTCCTCGCGCCGCGTTTC